TCTAAGCCCCTTGTAATCTATATTCGTACCTACACACTTTCGTATCAAGTTGAAAATTATTATCTCCTTCGTTATTATGTGGAATTAAATAAATAATTGTATCCATGTAAACTATATAAATATATAAATGCGATTGTACAGCTGCTTTTGAGAATGAAAACGCCGAAAAGATCGCCATCTTCGCTGAACTTCTTTTTCTTCTCCCTCTAAAATTTTTTATTTTGATAAAATCACACAATGTTGTTATGAAGTAAGTCATATTTACTGATGACCACGTTTCGAGCACTGAACTTTCTTAATTCGTTTACATACATGAGTAAAAATTAATGATTAGACATTTGAATAAAAAATCAATATAGGATAAAGTACATTCAGAAATAATAATATTAGTGTTATCAATAAAATACAATAAGATGGGTGGCATTCAAACCTGCAAACTCATTCAGAGACAAACTCTCTAGATTAAAGGACCCTGTTGGCCCAATTAGACAAAATAATATAATTTACAAAATACCTTGCAATGACTGTGAGTTAGGCCAACTAAATAAACCAAACTAGTAGATCAGGAGTAGTCAGATTATCAGAACAGGTTAGATTGATTGATCCCACAAAGGAAGATAAGTAATTTAGGAAAGAAACTCAGCAATCTCACTGCATGCATTGACACACAACCACACAATAGAGTGGGTGGGACAGGGTCAAAATTCTAAGGAGTAATATAGGTAGTTGGGTGGAGAGAGAGACTGATTACTGAATCCCCCCCTGGTTCATCGAGTCTACACCCAACACATGCAATAGAAGTGAATCAACGCAAATACCAGAGACATGTATGGAGGATATTATTACCACCAGTCGAATCAGAGGAGGATAAAAAATAATGTTAAAATGTATTCCGGTTCACATTCTAAAATTCTAACAAGTTATTTATTTATTTTACTATAAAAACATCGTATTTCCCATCTTGTTGTATTTTATTGATAACACTAATATTATTATTTCTAAATGTACTTTACCTTATATTGATTTTTATTCAAATGTCTAATCTACAATTTCTACTGATGTATATAAATGAAGAAAGAAAGTTGTGTGAGTAGTGCCTTGATATAATTATGAGTGGCATCAATTTGTGCTCGAAACATGGTCACATCGGTAAATATAACTTACCGTATAACAAAATTGTGTGATTTTATCAAAATACAACAATTTTATCCATAATGGAGTATTTTATACTGCCCTAGGCATGATTCGATTTCTCCAAATAAAATTGCACCCTAACACAGTCACAGGTGCCAGTGTTGATCTTATCTGGTAACTTGTTACACGGTTCAATGAATCAGATGGTATTGGGGATGAATAGGAGTGTCTCGCATATCGGTTTAGTTGTCCATTGTTTCCACGTATAACATCACTCGGTGATATCCGCCTGTCGACAAGTCCCTATCAACTACTGACAAGCTCATAACAGATTGATGTTAACAGAGATCGAACATTCCCTCACATCCATCCATCCATCCCAGCAATCAATCAGTCACTCAACAGGAAAATAAAAATCGAATCAATAAACACAAATAATAACTGACACCTCCTGTACTCTCATAGTGTCCAATCTGTCTAATGGATAACGTTGTGCCATTTGAATTTTAATAGGAATATAGGATACACCCAGTAGTTAACAAGTTGCAAGGAAGACGGTGAAATTCGTATTTCGTGTATTTTTCAACTATTAGCAGTATAAAAAAGCTCTATCCTGTTAGACTTGGTCGAGATACTGGACATCGCATTGACGCCACAACACAGCTTTCAGGGTTATATACCAAATTCCGAAGTCGTTATCACGCACAGTTCGCTTACGTCTCCTACACATAGCTGAAGCTGTTGGAATAAGATCGACTAAACAGGAACTTTGTAACCACATGGAACACGTCCAAACGCTGTTCCTACCGTGGCCAAACTTGGATTGATGACTCTTCTTCTTATCACCGAGAGTGCTTCTTCCCCTTAACCCTCTCGGTTTTTTTCCTTTGCCTATTATTACAAATATTACAATTATTATTATTGTTATTATTATTATTCGTCATAATTTATGCTCTTCATGCAAACATTCTCTCAATACTATCGAATTTTTCATCTATACTATCCGGACTTATTATTATTAGTGATATTATCTCTTTTCTCAATATATGCCTCCACCTGTTTCATTTCACACATTCGTTATTTCATTATGAACTTCTCATTGCAGTCTTTGTACTTTGTACTAGCCACTCACCCTTGACACCTTGAACTGACTTGTCAATTTTCCTAACCCACACTCTACGAATCTGTTATGACTAATCACCACCATAGTCTCCCATTTTACCGAAATATTTTGTAACTGATTTCAGCCTAGAGCACGTTTGTCACACACAAATACGACTATTTATTTTGACACCCCCCAAAACTGCTAATCTGTTATTCTACGTAAAAAAACACAAAATGTATCCACCGCATAACTGGCTATCATTATTGTAACGACAATAAATATCATCTTATGTTGATTTTATTCAAATGTCTAATCATCAATTGTCACTCATGAATATAAATGAAACAAGAAAGTTATGTGAGTAGTGCCTTGATATGATGACTATGAGCAGTAATAAATTGTGCTCGTAAAGTGGTCACATCAGTAAATATTACTTACTGTATAACAACATTGCGTGATTTTATCAAAATAAAAATCATATCCACAATAGAGTATTTTATACTGCCCTAGGCATGATTCCCAATTTAACTGCTCCTGTGAAGTGAGCCAGTTACATAGGCCGTACAATTAGGCGAGTTTCTCATCGAATTTCCGAACACCACCCTGCCTGGTTAAACAAAGGACAAACAAAATCTATTCGCAGCGACATTCTGTTTCATCTTGTGGAGACGGAACACAAGATTGACGTTAATCATGCTTTCACGGTCATTTACCGCATACCTACGAATCTCAATTTTGCTTTAAGAGTTCGACTACTAAATATTGCTGAGGCTGTTGGGATCCATATTAACAAGCCTAATTTATGCATCCGAAAGAAGTTAGTTCAGACATTATCACTACCTTGACCATCCAAGTCTGAATGATCCTGAAAGTTTTGTGGAATTTCCCTAATTTTAGTTGATATTCTATTTGCTGTTATATCTTTATTATTATTATTATAATTTAAGCATCTTTAATGAACTGCAATAGCATTGACCATACTTTACAAATCGATATTATTTAAAAAACGCTAATATTGTTTAAAGCAGTTAGTCCCTTTTATAAATTTTGATAGCATTATTAGAAGACGGAGATTATCTGAAAAATGTGATGTATTAGCGCTATACATTTCGAACAATCTGATCACACATTTACTTGTCAAGTCAATATATATGGAAAAGTTAAATTAAACAAGGTGACAAAAAAAAGAATTAAGAATAATTAACACAAACGTTTGGTAATCCAATCAAATAAGGATTACCAAGGTAGGTTAAGAGTAATAACGAACTGTTTTTGAATATACAAGGGGGGCTTAAGTTTATGAATGGCTATAGCCTCAGCGTATTTCAGTAAACGTCCTTGACCGTTTTTTATAGATGTATAGCGCTAATACATCACATTTTTCAGATAATCTCCGTCTGCTAATATTGTTATTATTATTATTATTAATAATATTGTTATTGACTACTAATCTAGAATATTCTATGTATATAAACATGCATATATATAATTGTAGAACCAGAAGAGGAGGAAATTATCGAAAAGGATATTCTTTGCTCGATTATTTTGTGTTTTATAGATGTCTGAATGAATATTTTTGCTATAATAAATATATTATATTTTATAATTGTGTAAGAACCTAAAAAGGAGAAATTATTATTATTATTGAAAAGAATATTCTTTGTTCAGATATGACTTTTATTAACAGCTAGGTTAGTCTCTTGCATCATCCACCGAAACCTACCTCATCAAGTGAATCCTCACTGAGATATAATCGTTGAAGTATCCGTAGGATTTTAGAAGAGAGCTGACACATGTCAACACGAAGGCTGAACACTTTGCTCCGATCAATCAATCAATCAGTCGGCGGGAAAATCAAAACTAACTTAAAAATCAATAAACTTTGGTTTGGTTTTTTTTACTAAATCATATCAAGTCAATAAATTATATCTACATAAACAGTAGTAATAGTAATAATAATAGTAATAATAATCTGTGCAATATATATATAATAAGGAAAAAGAGTGATATGGTGAATGGAGTGGAATGTTGTTAATCAAGAACAACTTGAAAGAGCCATGAATAGAAGAAGAAGAAGAAGAAGAAGAGGCAGGAGACGACAATGACCAAGACGACGGAAAGAAAAAGCTTTTCGTCAAATAAAGAAAAAAACAACCGCCGGCATGCCGTATCTCACAGTATTTAGTATACAATATACATATATGCGTGCATATATATTACTATAATAAGGGAAACACAGAGTATTCGTCAGTCAACAAACACATCTGTAAAATAGACCCCATTAAAAAGCGTACAATACTACTTGACAACACAGTGGTAGTAGTATATATATATATATATCGTATTACAGGATACTAAAAATCATACAATAAAATCACCAAATGAGATCTTTAAAAAGAAGGAAAAAAAGAGAATAATGAATGAATAGCCTTCAGAAAACAGGGTCAACGCCCTTTTTGAACAAAATTAAAATTAATTAAAGGTTAAAATCAAGGTGATAAAGTTAAACAAAAGCAAGAGCGTGATGATGTTGATGCTGCATCCGCGGGCAGTCCTCCTACATCCTGTTACCCGCCAGCCAGCCAGCCAGCCAACCAAGCAACCACCCACCCTAACCGCCTGTTACCTCGCTGCTTTCTGTCTATTAACAGAAAAAACAAACACGTCCGTGTCATTAAATTACTTCCTCTGGAGGTAATAATATCCGCGGGAATTCAATACATCAATATACACATATTAAACTTATTTTATTTTGATTTTTTCATTGACTTGTCTGTTGTAATTGTTCTTTTAATTGAATATTTTCTGTGAGTAATTCTTCACACATCAATTTTAAACGATTCACAGTTTGTATATTAACACTAGATAATGTCATAGACGACGTCGACGTGGAGGTGAAGGAGGTGGGGGAGTCAGTAGAATTCGACATTGTACTTCTCATGAATGGAAACCATGTTAAACTTGTAAATGGATTATTTGCAACTGAAGATGTTGATGGCGAAGCTGTTGAAGAGTAGTAGGTGGAGGGTGAAGAGGAGGAAGAGGTAGCTATATGCGAATTACTCCGAATAGCTCGATATTGACTCCCTGACGATGATGATGAGGATCCTATTGTTGTCACTGTTGTCGTCATCGCCGATGCTGTTGAGCCAGTGACAACTGTAGAATACGCTGCTGCTGCTGCAGTAGGTGGAGGGGGTGTAGACTTCTGTGATGATAATGGTGATGGTGATTTCAGATAGTTATCAAGTTCTTTTTGAATAACTAAACTTTTAGCCGTTAAATCAGCTTCTAAACGCTTTTTCAATCGTCGTAGAATGCAATTCTCCTCTTGAACTTCTGACATTCGATCAATAATTGCCTATTGTTTTTTGTATTTATATATTTGAGAAAAGAAAGAAAAAAGACGAATACATGGGATTAGTCAATATGAGAAATTATCAAGAATACTATAGACATGTTAGGAGGCAGCCTACTTGAAGGTAAAGAGGGGGAATCAATAGACGAGGCTGACTTCATGGAGAGGCAATGTGTTAGCTGACATAAGATCACGTTGGAAAAAGCTTAGACGTCGTCGAAACACAACCTGTAACCGGTCCATGAAGTTTTTGACCGTCAGTTTGAGGCAGCCACTTGGTTGAGGTCCAAAGGGTGCTAAAAGAGGCGTGCGTACTGCTTAGCACTTCCCTCTGTCCTCCTTTGTGGCTGTGAGCGACATATGGCCATTGAAAGTGGAAGACATGAAAAGGCCGGCCCAAATGTGTTCGATAATAGGTGCCTGCGTGTTAAATCTCCCGTATGGCAAGTGGGATAATAAGATGAGCAATATTGAGGTCAAGCATCGGTCGAGTGCTAGGTAGGTGGGAGTGGAAATCAGTTGATGAGGCTGTGAAGTTATACTGATTAAGATAACTAGGACATGTATTACGCATGCCTAGCTTAGCCGTCACCTTCCTCGACAGGCAATGTTAGCTGACTGACATAGAATGGATCAGGCTGGAAAAGAGCTAGCTAGTGGTGGCCAAACCAAGACATGGCTTCATCAGTCAGTGATGAAATCCACAACAGTTAGTTTAAGTCAGCCAGTCACGTAGGGAGCTGTACACTTCCTGACTGACTGACTGGTTGGTGAGGTTGGGATGGTAAGAACCGCTGACGGCTGCAGACAATTGGTGATACGGCTGAAAAGCGTCGTTGTTAATGGCTGGTTCAGATGTATTCACCCTTTGTGATTTATCATATTGTTATTTCATTTTACTACTATTCTTTTTGTCTCACTCACTCTTCTGTTTATTATCTGTCTTTTGACGAATCTCTCATTGCTCTATTCTTTCGCTGTATGTGCTACATCTGCACGCACGTCTAGGTCAGAACTCAATCAGTCAGTCAGTTGAATTCACGAAACTGGCTGACGCAGATGCCTCCACTCCTTGTGACTTATGATTTCCAATAAAACTATATTGTTCTTCGATATTACTATTCTTTTTGCGTCACAATTTTCTCTTGACTGTCACTATTTTGCGCTTCTTTTTACTTTCTTCTTCTTCTACTTCTCTGGCTTTGTGTGCTGAGTGAAGTGTGGCAACTGGAACTGCTGCACGTATCTGTGCAAAGTTCTACGTTGAAACCAGTCAGTCAGTGGATCACTGGGCTACCGGAATTGCTTTCCACTAACACTAAAATGCTTAATTTCTCATTTGGATTTAGCATTGTTTTACGAATCCAGTTAGTTAGATCAAGTAACCTATTATACATGAACACTTGCACGCTGATTTAACTTGCTTCCAAAGTAGACGCTGTGCAGTTAATTCTTCAACGAAATGAAGATATACTTCAAATTATTATTATTATTACTTTACATATAAACTCTGTATGAAGAAAAAAAATGTATTTTGGAAGTAAATACACTGAAAATTTGTGTACCATGTGGTCGCATAATGTCTGAAATAAAGCTTTATTATTATCGTTACTATTCAAGTATTGGTTTGTAGGAATTTGGTTGATTGGTTACAGGGTTTCATCATGAGCTGACATTGGTTAGAGAACCATTGGAAAACCTGGGAATACTGGACAGCCGTTTCATCTTAGTTTGGGACTCTTCAACAGTAGACACCCACCGGGGTTCGAATCCAGGACCTTCTGGTTACAAGGGCGAGCTCGTATACCATATTATTACTATTAGACAATAATCATTATTTACAGCTTCGTGAATCCAACTGACTGACTGACTGACTGATTTTCGACATAGACGTCTGTGCAGATGTAGCACATACAGCAAGAGAAGAGAGTAAAGAGAGATTCGTCAAAAGACAGACAGTAAACAGAAGTGTGAGTGAGGCAAAAAAAATAGTAGTAATATGGAAAAACCAATATGATAAATCACAAAGGTTGAATGCATCTGCACCAGACATTGACAACGATTTTCAGCCATATCACCCATTGTCTCTAGCCGCGAGAGGTTCTTACCATCCCAACTTCACCAACCAAGTCAGTCAGTGAGGAAGTCTACAGCTCCCTACGTGACTGGCTGGCTCAAACTCACTGTTGTGGATTTCGTCGGCTGATGAAGCCATGTTTTGGTTTGACCACCGCTAGCTAGCTCTTTTCCAGCCTAATCCGTCCTATGTCAGTCAGCTAACACTACCCGTCGAGGAAGGCGAAGGTTAGACGATGCATGCGTAACACATGTCCTAGTCATCTTAATCAGTATAACTCCACAACCTTTTAGATTGATTTCCCCTCCCACCTACCTGGCACTCGACCGATGCCTAATCTCAATATTGCTCATCTTATTATCCCACTTACCACACGGGCTATATAACGCAGGCACCTATTATCGAACACATCTGGGCCGGCCTTCTCATGTCTTCCACTTTCAATGACAATGTCTCTCACAGCCACAAAGGAGGACAGAGGGAACTGCTAAGCAGTACACACGCCCCTTTTAGCACCGCATGGACCTCAACCAAGTGGCTGCCTCAGACTGACAGTCAAAAACTTCATGGACCGGCTACAGGTTGTGTTTCGACCACCTTAAAGCTTTTTCCAACGTAATCTTATGTCAGCTAACACACTACCTCTCCATGAAGGTGGTGTTTTCGCATGCACTACCACCTCAATTGACCTCCTTTCTTACCTAACACTCGATGTCTAACCTTAATATTTTGTGCCATATTATACCACTCAACACGGAAGATAGAGTGCAAACGCCATTTGTTAAAGACGGCTAGTTTCAAGTGGTTGCTTCATAGAGCCCACCACCCCACATCGAACTTTTGACTTGAACTCTGAGCTACAAGGCAGTGGAGCAGCCCCTCAGGAGCTGTATTCTCATAGTTTCCGGTGACAAAAACTGACAGGTTCATACAAAACCATTCGACTGTTTCGAATTCTGGAATCCATGTGTTTAGAACCAAAGTTTTCAAGCTCTCCTACTGGGTAGACCTACCTATATGTTCACCAGTCCATTTGTAAGCGTCAGACGTTCTCATCCACGCGCCATGACGTGAAAGCACTGAATGAATAGGACTTACCCATCAGAGGCTAAGAAGATGCACGGCTACATGAGAGCATTTCAAGAAGTAAGCCAAATTCTTCCCCAACCTCGGCTTTACCAGGTGGTCAATGGGGGTCGGTTATCTTAAAAAAATACCACAAACAGACAGACATGCAAAAGTATAAACTCACCTTAAAGTCAGCTGTTGAAAAGAAACCTGGAGGCATTTCATGAAATGAATTCTTCGGTGTAGAAATATTAGAATGCCCTGAAGGATCTTTTGTCAATTGTCCATTCATAGCATTTACAGAATTAACTTCATTAGGCAGCATTCCATGAGATGTTGAAGAACCTGGCATCGTCGTTGTTGTTGTTGTTGTCGCGGTTAGATTAAAATTACTCGACAACGAGGAAGATGAAGAGTGTAGTGATGTTTTGCGTAGATTTGCAGCCTCTACATCACTATTGTTATTATTACAACCAAGTAGAAATCGATTCAATTGACGTCTTAACTCATGATTCAGTTTTTCACTACGACGTTTCACCGAATCAATCTGATTGCGTAATTCTTTTTCCAACACCTCAGATTGCAGCATCTTTTCTTGATATGTATTTAATTCTGTACACAAGGCATTTTTCTCATTATTCAATTGATCTATTTGATTTTGATAGTTAGATATTTCCACGGATAATTTATTCTCAAGTAGAGTAACTCGACTATTCAATTGTTCAATAGTTTGTTTTAAACGATGATGTGTTGAATTGGCGGTTTCCAAGGAATGTTCAAGTTGTTCAATATTCTGTCTTAAAAAAGCGGGAATTTGATAATCATCAGGATCATCACAGTTGACTTGAATAGATTTATGTTGAATATTGAGTGGATTATTAATTGTTTGGCATAATTTTGAATTTTTCACTTTATTATCATTATTATTATTACTCTGTGATAGTTTTTGTTGTAATTCGTCTAATTCATTTGTTAACCGATGACATTCAGCGCGTAGAGTTGACGATTGCAACTGGAATGATGATTCTGTACTCAATAGTTTATCACGTAAAAGTGTATTCTCTTGTCGCAGCTCTTCAAGACGTGAACGATTGGCTGAAGTTGATTGAGCTTCAATTAAAGCTAATTTAGTGTGTGAAAGTTCTTCTAATTGTTTTACACGTTTCTCTGCTTTTAATCGAGCCTCATTAGCTGTTATCTGTGCTTCACGTAAATCGAGCAGTTGTGATTGAAAACGCTGGAACTCTTCAGCTGATATCGAGGCAATCATATAAGCAGATTAAAAATCGATGATTTGATGGAAGAATTGTTAAAGTAGGGAACTGAAGGAATAATATATATATATATTTTTCGGAATTAAAAATTCATAAAACTCAAGGTGAAAATAACAAAAATAAATAAATAAAATATTCGTGCAGATTTTATAGGACCTTGGGAACAGACATTTCATCACCATGGGACGTATTTATACTAGATAGGAACAAAACCGCTGAAATGAAGATTTTATCTACTCTGTATTTGCTTTCAAACTATTAACCGCTTTATTGCCCCATCGTCTCTCCTAGTCATTGAAATGCACAACAAATCCAGTTTGGTATATCATTATTATTCCCTTGGGTTCCGGGTGGAACATAAGGCGTCAACAACACACCTATGCTTTATTCTATTCTCTGCTGTCCTCTTCAGCTGGATACACGACTGCACATAATCTCTCATCTCCTCTTTCTCCTCCTCGCAAGACAACCTCCTCCATGTCACCCTCGCACTGACTACCCATTCATCGCTTCCTTCTAGGATTTCAGCCGAGCGACAGCCAGCATTGCTCGCGATGTCATTCGGTAGTCTCCTCAATATATGCCCAATACATCTCCACTTTTTCCTACATATTTTTTTGAGCAATTGTTTCTTGCTTGTTGGTTTGTTGCCAGTTAGAGTTTCTTGTTGCTAATGCCTTCTCGCCAATCGGCTGGTCATTTGATCTTCAATAGGGAGGCAGAGAAGGCAGCTGTTGATAACAGTCTGCAGTAGCGTATTGGAAATCCTTTTCGTGACACGCTGGCCAAGATTCTGACCCGTATAAAAGAAGTGACTGACTGACTTCACATTTGAGTTGAATATCCGAATCTTTTCCTTAACACTGACTGAGTGAGAGCATAAGATTTCCAAACTGATTTCGGGGTGACAAAGGCGTATCTTGCCTTTCCGATTCCGGCTGGCTGACTTTGACACCTTCACCTGTTCCACGTGTCTGTGACTGAAACCGTGCTTCCTGGCCAGAGGGATGAAGCCAGGAAGTCGCCTCTGTCAAATCTCTCCCGTTAATAATGATTCTGCAGGTTGGTTATCTTTATCACCTCCGTCTTGTCTATGTTCACCTGGAGTCCTGTGTTCGCTGTCTGTCCGCTTCTTCAGCCAGTTTTGTTAATTTTCGCCTGCAAGTTTCCGAGTATGTGTGATATTAAAAACATAAATCATCTGAGAAACTGAGATGATTTAATTTTAATGTCACATTTTGTTATTCAATTCGAATTCTGAGGTCACAACTCAAATACCTGGAGTAATCAAGTTTTCAATCAACTCACTATTGTCATCAATAATAGGTGCATCATCCATTAATGTTTATACAGGGGAAAGTTTCCTAGCACACCTTACACTTCTTTCTCCAATTTAGACATAAATACATCTATTTAACAGAAGTCCGTCCAAGAGGACTCCTCATTGTACCACCATCAAATTGTTTGTATGCTTTTTCTTGGGAAAATGAAACTGATTATATATATATATATATATATATATATATATATTGAGACGGGTCCATATGAAGAAATTAAGAAGCCTTTAGATACAGTAATGAATAAGATTAAGAAATCTAAAGCGGATTTAATACGTAGTATGAAGTTGTCACTGGGTAAGTCTAAATGGTTTAGTTTAACGTCTAAAACTGATAATGCGAGTAGAATGTATGGTACTATTAAAATGCATAAACCAGGTTACCCTATAAGACCAATAGTAGATTTCAGAAACACGCCCACTTATGAATTATCAAAACACTTAGCTCTAATACTATGTCCCATTAGAAATCCTTCAAACTCTAGGTTAACTAATTCATATGAAATGAATAGGAAACTAAGTGACATTCATTTAGAGAATAATGAAAAAACATGGTTACTTTTGATATAACTAGATGTCTTTACACTAATACACCAATCAATATGACCTTAGAAGCAGTTAAAAAAGAACTAACTGCAGATCCGGAACTTACACCTAGAACAAAGCTACCCGCTGAGGAAAGTATTTTAGGAATTCAGTTATGCCTCACATCTACAAAGGCAAAATATATAGGCAAACAGAAGGTGTAGCAATGGGATGAATCATCAATATCTCCTATCGTAGCAGATATCTTTATGAACAGCTCTAAATACATTTAATCCTACTCAAAAATATGCTGGAGATATATGTGAATGACACTTTCATACACACAGTGTTATAAACAGAACATATCTCTCTTTAGCTTCTTCACACATACATAAACTCACTGGTACAGGGAATAAAATTCACATTTGAATCAGTGAAAGAACAAAGAGAATTAGCTATGATATTAGGTTGTACAATAAAAAATGAACAGAAGAAGGTGAACTGCACACTAGTGGCGTTTATTTAGACTTTAATTCATCTCATCCGTTAACTATCTATAAAACACAAAATAATTGAGCTAAGAATATCCTTTTCGATAATTTCCTCCTCTTCTGGCTCTACAATCACATATATATAAATATATATATACATGTTTATATACATAGAATATTCTAGAATAGTAGTCAATAACAATATTAGTCCTTTAAATAATATCGATTTGTAAAGTAAGATCAATGGAATTACAGTTCATTAAAGATGGTTAAATTATAATAAAAATAATAATAATAAAGATATAATAGCAAATAGAATATCAAATAAAATTAAGGAAATTCCCACAACAAATTGAGGATCATTCAAACCTAGATGGTCAACGCAAGGATAATGTCTGAACTAGCTTCTTTTAGACACATAAATTAGGCTTCTTAATGTGGATCCCAACAGCCAGCCTCAGCAATATTTAATAGTCGAACTCTTAAGGCGAAATTGAGATTTGTTGGTATGCGGTAAACGACTTTGAAAGCTGCCTCGTTGACATCAATCTTGTGTTCTGTTTGCACAAGATGAGATAGAATAGCGCCACGAATGGATTTTGTTTATCCCTTACTTAACCAACGACTGACTATGCAGGGTGATATTCGGAAATCCGACGAGAAACACTCCCAGTTATACTGCCTAAGCGACTAACTAGAAGAGGTGAAATAAGGTAGTTTATCTTTTACTCACGAAGGCAAAATAGGGGGTGGTTTTGAAGACACGGCGTAATTCAGCGGCGGGGAATGCTCTTTTTACTGCACTTCTAAGGCGTTATGTTACTATCTCGCTGATGTTATCCCCAAGGAATTGCATTTATAAGAATAAGGCCTTTTTGGGAACTGTTAGTGCCTTAGGCTGTTTTGATTTTAGATTTATATTCTTATCGATGAATTTTTCAGGGTAGCCGTTCTCACTGAGTAACCGTTTAATATTATTAAGTTCCTCATCATGACATATTCATCAGAGCAGATTGCTCTCTTGCTCTGTGGCGGACCAAGCACTTTATCAGATTGCGTTTGTATTTTAAGGGCACGAAGTTGAAAGATAAATGAGTATACTGACCCATTATCTATCTGTTAAGGCTGGTTTAGTTAAGTGTCTAATAGATGGCTGTTTTACTTTAAATTCCTGGATGATGGTGTAATAAACCACGCTGGAAATTGTGCATATTGTGTAAACTTATTGTGCATAATAAAGCAATTATTATTATTATTAGTAGTAGTAGTATTAGTAAAGTAATTATTAATGTGTCTATTCAGAAAATCAATAGTACTGACTGTTTCTCTCAATCATTATTATTTCACGTAACTCTTAATTCAAGGTTATTATTAAAGGTGATGGAAGTACTTTTGAAGATTAATTTCATAAGCATCACAGAAAAAATAACAGACTTCATACTATGGATTACATTGACCGACTAAAACATGCAATTGATCATTATTCATAAATGCACAAGTTTTATTTTATATAACTGAGTAGTTGTGTAACAACAGTAGACAAGGGCCAGGTAACAGAGGAAAAGGAAAATCAACACATATTTATAGATTTTAATGTACATTATTGTAGATTATTGTTAGTAGAAAATACAGCCTTTTGATTGGTTGTTTCTCACAAAAAGTTAACCTTGCATCTCTTTGTGGCTGTGTCAGATCATCCATATGCTAACTCTATCCGCCTATGCAAAGCCTTTGTTCTCATTTTCTCACCAGCAATATTGGGGACATAAACACTGACGTCAATTAATGTCTACCAACTTTGGCTAGCGGCCAGCTCTCACCACAGTTGTGCATACACCTTAATTCTATTCCTGTGATCCAAGCCAGTTGTAAAGCTAGTTGTAAAGACACTACGAAATGATACCATCATCTCGCGATGGTTGTCATCTTAGTGTCCTATATGAAATATTAGTGTTATTATTATTATTATTTGGATAGTGTTATTAGAAGACGGAGAGATATAAGAAAAAGGCGAGCTCGTAGACCATTGAGCCACTGGGACCCGATCCAATGGTCCTTGGATTCTAACTTCTGCCAATTCACAACATAGCGCGACCATTTCGCAATGTCTTCTTCGATGAGTTACTGCCTCATCTTCGACCTGCTGTACCCTACTGGTCACGGCTTCCCACTAGAACCCCAGGTTAACTGCCTGAATAGGGCCAGTCACTAGTGAGCATCAGATTAATTTTCAAGTATTGGTTTTTGTAGGGATTTTGTTTGAATGCATGGAGGATTTCATCATGAGCTGACATCAGTTAGAGAACCACTGGAAAACCATCACTGGAGTACTGGACAGCTGTTTCGTCCTAGTTTGGGACTCTTCATCAGTACGCACCCACTGGGATTCACGTAATACAACATTTTGAACAACAGTCTGACCACATACGCACACACACACACCTTAATATATGTGTAAAACTTGGCCACTGTGGTAGTATGTATGTAATTCCATATTAGTTTGTTTATTAGATATATATCACACAGTCTGTGAAACAGTATTACTGTTCACTGGATGACACAGTTTCGAACACAATTCATCACTGCTCATAATCATATCATCAATGATAATCACACGACTTCGAAACTTCAGTTTTATAGTTTT